ATATAACCTATGTTACTCGTTGATAATGTAGCTTTCTACAGGTGAATGAATTTTTAAAATCGGTCCTGTGGTTTCGGAGCCTATTCATAACAAACAAACAAACATACAAAAAAATCGAATCTTTCCTCTTTATAATATTAGTATAGAAGACAGAATGTCAGCACAGGCCTGTGGTTTATTAAAAGAGAGAAAGTTATTTAAAGTAGATACTTTCAGGTTTCGATTGCACAATGCAGAAAGTATTGACAATGCATCACAAATTCTCGGATAAGTTTTAAAATTCCTATTGGAGCAAACAATTTTTTTTTTAAAGATTAATGATTTTATTTTGTTATAATTTTTATTGTAATCATTTCCTAAAAAATTGAATCTTTAATAAAAAAATGCTGCAAAAGGTATTTTTCAGATCTTTTTCGCTATTTCTACGTGTCTACTAGTGCTATCACCGGTAATGCAGGCTTGGAAGTTTAGCCTCTTGTAAAGTTTTTCGACGATATCGGGTTTATTACAAGTTTTTTTTTATAAACTAGGGTGCCTAAAGATCTTAAGATTAGCTAGAAGAACATCACTTATATAAATGCTTTGTTGCTAAAATGCCATGCAATATTATTAAAATCACATGTATGCCGTGACATTTAAATTATTATTTGCACCATTTAAAAAACCTTTTCCCTTGTGTATTATATTTTTCATGGTATACTAACTGTAGCCGACTATGCTTCGATGTGGCACATTGATGACAAACTAACGCAAAAAGATAAAAATAATCTTTGAATCGAATTGTGTATCGTGCCAAACTTTGAGCTCATCGGTGCAGAACTTTTTGAGTTTTCGAAACGTACACAAACCAACGTATTATTTTATATAATTATATAGAATATAATCATCGTATCACTGTATAAGCTTTCTTAGTTGAGGCTGCGAGTTAAAGCTTATGTCAAATACAGTAAAATAAATAAATGAGAGCTTATCAAGCTTTTCTTATCAAATATCTCTCTGTAAAGGATTTTAGTTCTTGTGGTAATGACACAATCCCTTCGATCATAAAAAAAGGAAATGTCCAACAGAAACAACAATTTTACTTATGTATGACTTATGGCTTGATTATACTGATTATTCTTTTAACTGTGTACTGAATGTAAGGCTGGGTGCTGCCGCTGCCTACGAATTGGATCAAATATACGATCCTCTCTTATGGTAATTCGTAATACAATTTCATCTGCAACAATTCACTTTTGAATTATTAAAGAGATGACAAAATTTATGTCTTCTGGGACTGTACTGGGATGGTATTATGGATTAGTACAATAAAACCATAGTGCATTTTTACCTTTTGCGATCTGAGTTGATGTCGGATGTTTTATGTGTGGCCGAACATTACCTTGCACTATTCAATTCACTTGTTTTAAAATAGAACTCTATGGTAAAAGAGGTTTTGACACTCAAATACTGGTCGAACTCTTGCCCGTCTTTCGTCTCTGTATCAGTAGGGTAACAAGACGATTAAAAACTTTATGCAAAAAATTGCGTTGCGACCGTTGTACAATTCAGTTTGAAGAAAAGCAACGTACTTAAAAAAATATGTAAAGTGGATATATCCTGATTTCAAAAGGGAGCTCAGTCTAGAGAACAGCTGACTGTATGTATGTACAATGTAGAGTTGACGTAGTCGTGTAGAAATAAAAGAAGAAAATTATTAGTGGAAAGAAGATTTCGATCGTGATTGGAGTATAAGAAGTATATGGAAGTGGGAATGGGATAAGGTAGGGAATGAGGTTTAAGAAAAGAGAAGTCAGTGCCCGCAGTTTACGGTGTGGACAAAATGGGAGATATTTTAGTTGGGGCCGTAAAGTGACGTGACCAAGACATGTCATATCATCACCACCAAGTCATACTTTTCAAAGTTAAGGTAAAAGTTTTCAATACATTTGGAGTATCCATTGTTTGTATTTGTAAAACTAGTACTTATCTTATGGTTTTTACATCCTTGTAGCCATGTACTGAATGCCCTTCTCCCATTGCCCATACTCATTGTGTTTTTAACAATTACATTTTTTCAACAGCTTTGGTAATATATGATAACAAAGAAATTCTTCAATGTTTTATCAATAACTTATATTTATATATATTTTTGTAAACGGGAGTCAAGGGTTTAAGCTGAAAACCATCGCTTGGTAATCCATCTGAAGTCCAAGCATAAGCTGACGCTTAGACCTTTTAGTTTCGGTATTATAGTTTCTGTATATTTTTACAAGAGTGCTGTAATGCTGAAATCAATAACCTGGTATTCTCTTCTACTATAACGACGATAGCCATTACCTTTTTATTCTTTAAATACGATACATAAATCTTATTTTATTTTATTTTTGTGAAAGAGGGGGCAAACGAGCAGAGCCGTCACCTGATGGAAATTCCTCTAAGCACTCTTTATGTTTTATACGATAGAGTACACAGAGTGAAGCTACATCTCTACGTAACGATCCCAGCAATCGAGCCGATCAGAGTTTTTTTGGCTTTCGACGATTCGAGTCTTCGTTGGATGCGGTCCAGAGGGAGAGGGAGAAGCAAGCCCCTGCATAGAGATGAGAACAGGATTCTATGCGGCCGGACTTGCGATTTATAGAGTTGGAGGCAGTGGGCCGAAGTGAAATAGTGTCACGATCTGTTCAGCACACCGAGCTTCTTCGAGGCTAATTTGACCTTACACTCTAAGTGTCCCTGAACCTGAACTCGCTCGTTATGTGGATGCCTAGGATTCCTATACGGGCTGAGGTAGCTAGGGAGATACTCTCAAATCGAGATGACAAGATAAACGGTATCTTTTTGCGGTGAACGCGCAAACCTGTGTCTTTTTTGAGTTAAAATGGACTAGTTTCTTTCTACTTGTTAATTTATAGTAATAAAAACTACAGATTACTTCTCTGTTAACCAAAGTACCCTAATGTTTGTGATCTTCAATTTATGTCATAACATAGCGTGAATCTTTGATCAGTGAGTGTTGAGCTAATAGTAATCTAGGTATTGTCAATATCTCCTTGAGTTAGTAACACTGCAATAAAGAGATTATTACAAGCCTCGGTTTTACATTTTGTGGTTTATCTATAAAGACGCGGTTTTCTATTGTAAAATTCCACAAAGTCATGTCGACATCGGAATTATTACAGGGTTAATATACCTTGATAATGTAAATAAGATTTCCTAAATCAGTTATTAGCACATAATACACCCAGCACATGAGAAACCCAGTGATAATTTCCACAATTATATTATGTTTACTATGCTTAGATCGTCAATTCTAATGCGGACTTTCCATATATGTTTTGATGTCCAAATAATAATTACTTGTTAAAGATGTTTTTTTTTTAAGAAATTTGTACTATTTGATAGTCTTATATTAGTTCGTTTTATTCATTGTGTTAACAAGCGCCTTTAATAGATCAAAGTCAATATTATATGTTTATCTATTTGGTATTTATTATTTTGAAATTGTAACCTTGTAAATATATGCATTATATTTATAGTGTTATTTTTGAACTGATCGCATCAGGTTGTCGGCATATAAGTAGGCTCGCACTACAATATAAACATATTAAATAAGAAACATATCAGTAATGTAATGGTCATATGAAAGCAAAATACACGTGCACAAGACTAAAGGAATGTTAACAATTATCTACACCATATCGCAACACCTAGCCTTTTCACTTAGTGTTAGTATATACAACAATGATACATTACAGACTGTATACTACACGGTATACGGCACACAATTAAACATACCAAAAACTAAAAAAAAATCCTAAGAAGTGCGAGTCTGACTCGCCCACCGAGGATTCCGTTCAAATTTGTAAATAATTCAGGATAAATTCCTCGCAGTATATTTCCGAGCTTACCCCAAATTTAGTTTCCAATTATTATATAATAACTTTTTTTTTTATCTAAGATGTTTATTATTATGATGTATATTGTACCTATTGTTAATTTTTTCATTCTAGTACCTATCCATTGATCACTTGATGCTTCATCATCATCATCGTGCATGATAAGCTCTTAAATAAAATTTTCTTCTTTTATGGTTGCCCAGACACTCAAGCTTTGTGAACTGTCTAACTTTCAACTTTCTCAAGTTACACTTGAAAATATTTTTCCTTACTCATTTCTTACGTTTATAATTGCTTTTTTTCCACATCTACGGTTCTAAGGATCGTCTCAGTTCGTTTTGGTTTGGTTAGGTTGATTGATTTGAAGACAGGCTAGTGTGAACATTCAACTTGAACATAATGCTGCCGAATAGCTCGAGTCAAAACGAAACCTATATACCAAATATTGCTGTTGTATTTATGTTTAGTGAAATTAGTAAGTGTAAGATTATTTTGTCTTTTGTGTTGCTGGTAGATTGTAATCTTTTTCTATTTGTTATTCTTATAGTTTTGATTTATATATAAATAACATAGACAGCACAGGTATAAACCTTGTTGGTTTTTAGTTGCTATTATTGTATAAGTCACTGTATTTTTCCTCTTTGTAAACAATAAATGAAAAAAAAAGGCACATACTGCGTGAACTGAAATGTGCATCATAGTTCTGTAGATAACTAGGTGTCACTGGTTCGTTATCGTTCCATATTTTACATCCGCTTATAGCTTTGTAATACATTTTTTATCGTATAAGCAATAATTAATTAGAACAAAACTACAAAAACACTATTTTTGTTACTAAAACCTATGTAGTTTGTCATCAATGCTCAGAGTTAGTCTTCGTCTTAAAAAGTCGAACACTAATTTCATTTGAGATGATCTAAATTTCATTTGATTTTACACTGATTTAAGATTTTCAGTCATACATGACAACTAATCTTCTGAAAGAGGATTGTGCCATTCTATATAAAAACAAATACGCCTCCAGAGAACAAAATATATTTTCGTAGTCAAATTGTCCTTAGTTTGAATATTTTTAAGAAGGTTAATAATTACGTGATAATTTTAGATGTTAAAAGCGGAATGGAGTTGGTGAGGATAATTTTTTGTTTTTGTTCAATTGTTATTGATTTAAAATTTCGCCAGAATAATGGGTATAAAATAAAAATAAAATAAAATATTGATAAAAGAATTCTTATATACATACTTATTTTATTTTATATTTATTTGTACAAAACAATTTTAACAAAATTGTACCAACTCTTCTATCCAACGTGGTACCTATATAGTGGACTATTAAAGACTGTTGATGATGATCATATTAAATAAAAATTGTAAGTCATTCTTATATGGGTATTTATAAGAATAATTTGAATAAATACGTAACCCGTCACCATATAGTTACGAAATATTATGATTGCATTTCTACTAAAGGAACTAAATGCCACTTTTATTCTTGTGCCTAAGGTAGGTATCAGTAGCATCTACGTACTTTGTATGTTACCTAAGTAGTTATGACCTTTGGTTCAGATGAATGAAGACAAAGGATCATTAACAACTCAATAATTTACTACGTCGTGACCATATATGTAGGTAACACGAATAAAAACGCTGTATAATTTCTGATAAGGATATCTGATAATGGATAAGTATAATCTCGCATTGCCATTTCAGTCTAATATATTGTGAAATATATACGTACTTCTTTAAAAATAAGAATTTGTGAAGTGCTTCAAAAGTCATCTACATACCTACGCTCGGAACTTTGATGAGATAAAACCGACGCAAGTCGGGTAGTTAACAATAGGCATAAAGCGACAATCGCATCTTCCTTTGAGTCGAAAGCAAGATGAGAGGTAACGCGCTGCGGGTAGCGAACGGCTAGGCCGGTGGTGGTGGCGCACGGCGGTACGCACGGCTCGGGCGGTAACAAGGGATGCAGGCCGGGCTCGGTGGTGGACGGACGATTGGATCGGGCTGTAGCAGTCGGCTCTCAGTGTCGCTCAGATAGCGGCGCGCGTTGGTCGTGCGTCGAGCGCGTGTGGAGTGATGTCTGCGAGATGAGGCTGTCGCTGGTGCTACTATGGTTGGGCGCGGCGGCGGCTTGCGGCCCGAGCCGCGGCTATACCCGCCGTCAGGGCGCGCGCCGCATTACGCCCCTAGTCTTCGGCCAGCACGACCCAAACATAAGTGAGAACAAGAACACCGCAAGCGGCCCTCCCGAGGGTCGCATCACCAGGGACGACGAGAGGTTCAAAGACTTAGTGCCGAATTATAATCCGGACATCGAATTTAGGGATGATGAGGGAACAGGAGCTGATCGCCTCATGACGCAGGTGAGGTTTTCTTTGAATTTTCTTAAATGTCCTTTTTTGCTACGGCACATTGTTTAAGTTTCGCGCCTCATTTTAACGCGGCAACTTAAAACTTTAGTTTCGAATAGTTATTGGGAAATGCAGTAATTTTCATTCCGTTACAGTCGTTGGTAAATGTCTTGCAAAACAATGGATTTCATGAAGTGTCCGCTGTTTTCAAAACAGCTCCTTAGTGAGCGGGCAGGGACAATCGACAGTGTAAACATAACGCGGATGGAACAATAGGAACAAATTGCGGGCGTTACGGTAGCTTCGTAGCGAGTGTTCCGATTGTAACATTGCAATTACGCAGGTTTTGTCAACAAATATTTTGACTCTGTGACTAATAGATGAATGATGAATTCTTTACAATTTTGATGCCAGTTTTGGTAAATATATGGCCGTCATAAAATTTGGTGTCGAAGGCATTCAGTATCTTGCGTTGTCATTCACGATGCTTTGTATTAACATAGAGATAACTTACGGGAAACTTATTGTTGAGGGTTTCTGTTTTGTGTTAAAGGATCGCGCTGTTGTGTAATGTATATGTAGAACAATTGTAAATTTCGCTTTATTACATTTGTACAATTTGTTACATTTCTTTTACTCTGATTATAATATGAGTTTTCAAACTACCTCCAACTCTAAATAAGTACTTCAATTGTTGTTATTTTCAAAAAAAAATTCAAACCTGTTGTTATTTTTATCAAAACTTCAAGAGTTAATCTAAGCATGTGATGAATAAAATAGCACTGTTTATAGTAAGTTAAATATCTCTCATGAAAATTATTCCCCTAAATTAAAGCAGTGTTCACCTGTTTACAATTGAATGTTTATTGTAGAATTCACAACTGCTTGTAATCGCGTTGACAGAATTATTTGATGGGCACTGTTTAATAATAATAATTACATGCAAACGTAAATTGCTAATAACTTTCATTCAATCATTAGTTACTATTGCAATTTTTGAACTACTAAATAGGTAAACCATAACAATTCGTTTATATTCACATAACATCTTAAATTCTATAAACGATTAGGTGTAACTTTAATTTATGTTGTCCAAAAAATGATCAATTTAATTTGTAATAATTTGAAATGCCACCTTTTGAACTTGAAAAAGTATTTTAAAAGTATTGAATAAGAGTGAAAAGTGAATAAAGTTAGACTTCGGAATTACAAGATGTCAAAGTGACCCATTAGGCGTGGCTACAACCTGTGCCCACGTGTGGCTATAAAAATCGGCTTAAAAGATTGCAGTGCTGTTGCTTGTGTTTGTCGCCTACGAAGAACACAGTAACCTATTTTCTTCAGTCCACTCGCGACGAAGAGTAAGATAAGCGAGTCTGAGTTCTGTATATCACATTATATCGTTTTTATCACTGTTAATATTACTATTCACTTATCTAAAGTCTATTAGTTTTTCGTGATGGTTTCTTGGATTAATGAATTTATCAGTCTATGTTTTATAAATCAAATTAAAACAGATTAAGAAAGTCATAAAAATTTGGGAGAGATGGAATAGCTTTGAACAAATTTGACTTATACAACCTACTTACTAATCAATCAATAAGAAAAACTATAAACTGTCTTTGTCAAAATTGTTAAAGAATAATCGGCAAGCATATTCCTTTCTACTACGCTTTAACGAAAACGTAACAAGTAACAACTGACTCGTTTTAAAGTCAATAGATGTGTGCCTATAATTTCTTAAAATACTAAATAAAATATTATCCTATGTATGGATGTTTATTACGCAATTATGCCAGATCGGCTGAACGGCACTGAAAGAAATTTTGGCAAAAAGATAGATTTAACGTCTCGACTAGCACATACCTGTTATCGATAATGTAGAACCATTCGACGCCGCATGTAAAAATATGTAATACAAAATTGGTTTGAGGAATCGAGAATCTCGGTGAGCAATTAAAATCAATATGTAAGTTACAACCCTGACATTTACTAATATTATAATCGTATTTTTGCCTTTATGAGACAGATAATTTATAGTTTGCCGTCTATTTTCCACTAGTACAAACAATTATGCTGTAGAAGTGCTTATTTCCACAGAATACTATATTTATTTAAAACTTATTCCTCCACTGAGCTATAAGAGACCCACGTTAATAAATTATAAATTTTAATTTTACTGTATAAAACGTACTGTTTTTTTTACATTACCAGTAATAATGGTACATGATGTACAGAAATGATTCGTAGTATTTTAGTGAGATCAATTTAGGAGATATTGGTTTTATTTAACACCGCAAAGTTTGGCGTTAACCAAACAAATCCTTAATACCTACTCGCAAAACTAGTAGAATGATTGGTAGAAAAACATTAATTGGATATGTTTGCAATTTCTCGAATTTATACCAAAAATATTTCATTTTGATTTTGTTACTATCGTGTTGCACTAAAATTATCTCGTCTTGAATTTCATTAGATCAAGTAACGCTTAAAATGAAAGGATTGCTAATCAAAGAAGAAACGTGAAAGCAAAGTGCGTACGGAACAAGCCGAACGAAACTATTTCGATCTTTACCTACTAGTTCTTTGAATAATGTATCGGTCGCCCGACGTATCTCGTCGTCAATTCATTGTTTTTGTCATTTATTTAACAAGTAAATGATGAATTTCGTATCTTTTCGGGTCCACGCTGTCATACAGTAATTCTAGAAGCTAATTGTCTTAGACTTACCGAATAAGTATTACTGAATAGAATTATGTATATTACCGAATATTGAATCACTATTAATCACTCTGGGTACTATCTGGATATCAAACGGAAATCTCATAGGGTTTTTGACGTTGGCCCCATATTATAGAGGTTATATTAGACTAAAGTCCGATACCACCTCTGACGGTCAAAATCTGTATCAGGTGATGCCCAATTTGGATGTCTAGTGGTTGTAATTTGTGAGTTAACAGTAATTTGATGTTTCTTTTAGGTACAAATATTACTTAATATTATACACTGCCTAAAATTCTAATTAAAGTATTTTAATTATAAACGGAAGTTTAAACATTACAATTTATAACAATAGTTAGTACACGAACAGATTCCGAGGTAAAGACCAAACAACATTTGCATTATATAGTATAAATTGTCTGTTATCATCATCATCAACAGCCTATAATAGTCTACTGCTGGACATACTATACCACGCTGACCAGACGGGTTGGCATAGGATTTGTGTCAAGTTTTCCTTCTCTTTGCTGTGTAGTTTTCTCCCTTAGTCGGCTCTTACAACACCCACGGGATGAATAGGGGTGGTGTCAACAAAATTGTCTGTTATGGTTGTCAAGAATAATTTATAGATCATGTATCGAGTAATTTTTACTTATCTAAAATAGCAATTCTTCAATACAACTAAATCACCATCCTTATCATCAGGGGGAATTTACTTTCGTGTACACAACTTTCGTTAAGAAGTACCTATTTGTAGCACAGCCGGAGTCTAGAACAACTATTTTCGAACGTCATATAATGTCGAATTTGGGGTCGCAAGCAGTTTTTTCTTTATTAACCGACTAACTGTCCGGCCCGGCTTCGAACGGTTAGTGTACCCATTTTAAAAAATAAGTCATTTGTTGCAGTCGTTCTGAGTATGCGCGTACATTACATACATTACGGCGATTCATTTTTATTTATATGTATAGAAAGATAGATCATTTAGGCATAATACATTCGTATCTGTGAAACCATGGAAATACACATTAGTTTAGTATTTGAGGGTCCAATTGTATTTTTAAATCATCCAGGAAACCATCGAAAAACCCACTTATAATTTCAAACTCATCGTTTCAGTCGTATATAAGTTTTGTGACAAAGATAAGTACGAAAGGATAATTCTTACTACCCGTTGTCCTATTTTCCGTTTTCCCGTAGGAATGAAACATTTTCCCGCGGTAAAAAGTAGCCTATGTTGATCAGGGATAATGACGGCTTTTAATGGTAATGGTGGTCGGTCCAGTAGTTTCGAAGCCTATTCAATACAAACAAACAATCAAATCTTTCCCCTTTATAATATTAGTGTAGATTACTAATGAGTAGGATCTCAATTGGTTGAATACTGCGTTCTTTTATCTTCATAGTATACAATATTTCTAAGGGTGAAACATTAAGGGATTGAATTCGGTGATACTTTTTGTAGTAATATATAGAATGGCAATAATAAAGGTAAATTTAGAATACTATAGTAACTTTTGAAAGGCTGAGCAAAATTTACCTTAGCGCGAGAGACGGCACCGGAAAAGACATTAAGTGTGTTAGAATATTTATCTACTTAATCAGAAATTTAATGTAATAGCGGTTAGACATAAATTTTAAAAATTTAATAGTGGCTTCATTATATTATGCAGAAAATGTTGAAAATGTATTATGAAAATATTACAAAAGAAACACACTAGGTAAATTATTAGGGGCTTGAAGTATGAAATTGCCGATTTGTACTGAAAAATTGAAACTCGTTTTTTTCTAAGATGTAACAAATTTCTTTAATAGAAATATTTACCCTCATTATCTATACATTACTGCCATCTAAACGGCAGTTCATTTATGCCTTTACGATCTGGGGATCTAGATTCGACAAACTGTTAAAAGCATTTTGTACTGCCTCCTGGGAAAAAAATACCTGCCACCGTTATCATGGAGCAATAATGGTGAAGATCGATTAAGAGTGAGTCGGGGCTGTTTCACTGCCAGTTTTGCCATCATTGTTCGAAGTTCGGCACAGTAAACATCTGCTGATATTGCCTGACTAGACCTGAGAAAGCTATAGTGAATAACACCATAAGGAGATCATCAAACAGTTACCATTACCTTTTTATTGGTAAGCTTCGCTTTAGGGCATAGTTGCGGCGTTTGACTTGGGTCATATGGTCTTGGGTATGGTCAGCCATTGCATCTTTCGCTTACGGTTATCGTAAATATTCTACTTTTCGTCACAAGTCAAAATTTGATCTAATATTCCTTATTT